TTCGGGATGAAATGTTCTATAAATATCAATTAAATGCATTTAATCTAGTGTGTGGTTTAGGGTCGCTCGCTATTCCCTCGTTGATTTTTTTGTCTAGAAGATCTGTCAGTGATGTCAGTAGGGTGATGATTGTATTGCTGTTGATCTCTCTCTTTAAGTCCTCTGGAAGTCTTTTTTTATATGTTTGTTTGCTCCTATATTGGGTGCATATATGTTTATCAGGGTTATATCCTCTTGTTATATTGATCTTTTTAGTATTATGCAGTGGCCCTCATTGTCTCTTGTTATGGCTTTCATTTTGAAGCCTAGTATGTCATGTAAGAGTATTGCTACCTCAGCTTTTTTCCCCTTCATTTCTACTTGCATGGTAGTCTGGAACACAGGTGAGGTGATCTGACTTGCAGCAGTAAGTTCTTTTTTCTGGTGGTGCTGGGTCAGGTGTGCCTGGTCACGGAGGCAGGTTTGTGTATCAGGGGGTGTCAGGACACAGTTACGGGGCCAGTCACAAGTTGGCAGGGCCGATCTGCTGGGGCCACCAGATACGGTTCGAAGGGTCTGAATGGTAGGTCTGTCTGGGAGCTTTGGGTCACAGTGGCAGGGCTAGTTGCACCATGTTAAGGTGGTGGGGCCAGTTGTGCGGGGGCATTTATTTGGACATGCTGGGATGGGGCTACAGGTCCACATATCCTGGCATGACTCTCGTCAGAACAGTAGTCTGTTGTTTTTGTTTGTTTTTAAAGCTGGAAGATTGGTTACAAAAGGATATTTTAAATGAACCCAGTCAGATTGAGTAGAAACAATTTCTCCCATAAACTAGCATCTAAGGCACATGTGTCAAACACAAGGCCCGCGGGCCAAATCCGTCCCGCCAGGCCTTGCAATGTGGCCCGCACCGCGCTGTCATCACTGCACTCCGCTGCGTTTCCATCACAATGACAGTTTATGACTGTTCAGTAAACCATTCGGCCCGCGATTTAGGCTGGATTTTAGATTTTGGCCCCTTCTCTGATTGAGTTCGACACCCCTAATCTAAGGCCATGGCATTTTAGTTCTAATATTATAGTAACAATTCCTTTGGTTCTTGTTAATTCTTATTTAAACCAGTTTGTTTTTGCTGAGGCTATTAACTCAGGTTAACATCCAACTACTAGAATTTTATTAAAATTTTAATTAGATGGCTGAAACTCTGGTTTGTGAATTGGCTGGCTACTGCTAATGGCTTTGTAGTTTTTAAAAATAAGATATTCAAGGTTTGTAAATGGGGTGGAAATGTGTAATTTTAAAAATCGAGAAATGTACTTATGAATTAGACTGAAACCTGTTATGGACATAATTGGGAGAAAGGATGAGCAAGAGGAGAAAAACCCTATTCTATTAAAAGAAGCCTTAATACAGTGCCTTGCAAGACCCAAACTCTGCAGATATCAGAATCGAATTTTTATTTGTGACATTTCCATTTTACTTTAATTTGATACTTGAAACATGCAGTATTTTATGGTGTCAAACTCCAAATTAATGCTTCCATTGACAGCATGAATTATAATCTGGGAAATAAATTTGGGTGGGGTTTGGAAAGTGGGAGTGTGGTAAGTAGAAAAGTAACCCCTGTAAACTTTCAGCCATTGTGTTTTGGCAAGCTGGGCAGTGGTTGCTTCAGTGCTGTATGCCACAGTGGGAAGAGTGTCGACATTATAGTCGCATAAACCTAGGTCTCAAACCCTAGCTCCAACACTTACTAGGATGAAACAGGTTTCTCCAAACTTGCCTTCCTCCACTGTCTGCTGAAATGTAGGGATGACATCTAACCAGCTTATTTTGAGAATTAAATGAGAAAATGAATACAAGACCTCTGGCAGAATGCCTTGCTCATTGTACTCATTGTAGGAACTTAACTCAGTTCATATTCCACTTCCAATTTGATTTTCTTTATACCTAACTTTAGTGCCTATAATAATGATATAGAAGCCGTATTAGTGGTCATTGTGCTCAGTGGTTAGAGCACCAGCCCATGCACCAAAGAGTCCTGACTTCCATTCCTAGTCAGGGGCACATACCCAGGTTGCAGGTTTGATCCCCACCCCCAGTTGGGGACTGTGTAGGAGGCAGCCAATTGATGTGTCTTTCTCACATCAATCTCTCTCTCTCACTCTCCTTTACTCTCTCTTTTTCCTTCCTCCCTGACTCCCTCCTACTCTCTAAAAATCAGTGGATAGTAACAATAACAACAACAGAAAATAGAAGTATATTGTGTCAACTGCATATTTACAAAAGAAAAGTACCTGAACATCGGGGAGTATGGCAAGTGTGGCCTGGATTGGATGGAGATTATGTGGGTGGGACCTGGTAACAGTGTCTTTAAACAAAAACATCCTTTAGCTTCAAAGAGAGCTGGGGTTTGTGCGAGATGGTACAATGATTACTTAGTTTCAGTTCTTTTAGGGCCTTATAGCATTTCCAATTAAATGGTAGAGAGGTAGTTACAGGAGAGACACAATGATTATTGGCATAGCAGAACTAATGAGATGACATTACATAAAAAAGAAGCATCATTATCGCAGTATTTTTACTCCATTTATAGTGTCTTTTCCTCCAAAGGTGTTATACAAATAACATTGAGATAATAAGCCATTTAAAAATGTCAAAACACTTAAAGAATAAGAATGGCTAAGAGAAATAAATACATGGAAAAGAAGCAGTAGAGACTAGAACAGTGACTGGCACATCAGGATAGTGATTCTTCCATCGCACTCACCTTTGCTGCTATAACTGGGTAGAGTCTTGATGTGGAGGCGTTTTCCTGGCCAGCCTAGTGTTCACCATTCTTACATCCTGTGATCGAAGACCATGGGTTTTGGTGTCATATGGAGCAGCATTTAAATCCTGATCCTACTATTTTCTAACTGATAACTTGAAACAAAAGACCTACATTTTCTGAGCCTCAATTTCTTCATCAGTAAAGTGGTGTTAATTATACCTCCCTTGTTAGCCTTGTCTCTAGGATTAAAGTAAATGGATTATATACTAGAACACTTCACTTAGTGCCTGGCCTCATGGTAACAAACTAGCAATTCTGATACTCAGAATATCTCAAACAGTAGTTCTGATAGGGTTATACAGCATAGTAGCAGCTTCTCTGTGGTTCAGATGATAAAGCAATGTGGAGTTGCCAGATCTTCTATCCTTCTCTAAATTGACATAGTAAACTATAATCTGCACTTCATAATCTAGCATTCTATTTTTAAAAATTTATCTTTATTATTGAAAATATTACAGAATGTCCTCTTGTTTCCCATGACCCCCTTCACCTCACATCCACCCCCCCAGGTAGATTTTTAAAATGAAACATATACATAACATACATAATAACTTTAGCCTATCATCAGCTTTAAGAAAGAAAAAAAAGTATAGGTAGATTTGAAAACTCTTATTTTTCCTCCCCCAATAAACACTATCTTGAATTTTGTGTGTCATTTCCATGCATGTTTTTGTATTATAATTATGTATTCATAAATATGGTATTTTGCATATATAAATCTATTATATAAATATTATTATCTACACTAATAAAAGAGAAAGATGCAAATTGACCGTACCTTCGTGATATCCACCAGCCAATCAGGAGTGAGCATGCAAATTAACAAAGCTGGTATGTTAATTTGCATACATAGGCGCTGAGCAGTGGGGGTGGGATGCAGGCATTCCTCACCATCCCATCTGCTCTGGCTTCTGGGCAGTGTGGTAAGGAGGAAAGGCGGCTCCATTCCAGAGCAAGTGAAGGCAGAAAGGTAGTCTATACAGGCAAAAGTAGGTTTACAGTTGTATGCAAAACAGTTGATTCTTGTATTATTATTATTAATACATTTTTCATATAAACAACTGTAAACCTACTTTATCCCTACTTGTATATGCTTATTAATTTTAATGAATTTTACTAGTTATTTTATCTGAGACATATTAAAATTTTCTCTATTATGTTAGTAAATTTGTCTGTTTTCTGTAAATACCATCATTTTTGCTTTTGAGGCTTTGTTATTAGGTACATACAGGTTCAGAATTGCTTTATTTTCCTGGTAAAGAAAAATTTTTTTGTTACTGTTATATGATGATCCTCTATATCTCTAACAATGCTTTTGCCTTAAAGTCTGTTTTCTGACAATACTTGAGCTATTACTGGCTTTTTACTAGTAATTGTGTATTTTGTGGCATATTTTTATAGACTTCAATTTTCTATATCCTCATATTTATGTTTTTAGTATGTCTCTTGTAACATACAAAGAACAAGGCTTTGTTTATCCAGTCTGAACCCACTTTCTTTTAACTGCTAAGTTTAGTCTGCCTGCATTTATTACCACTACTAGTATGTCTGTACTCATTTCTACTATTCTATTATGTTTTCTATTTACCCTGCTTTGTTTTCTGCAGTTTTTTTCTCTTTTTACCTGTCTTCTGTTTGAGCAACTTTTCTGTATTTCTTTTTTATTCTACTGATCATCCCTAAAATTTTAACATGCATTTTGCTTTTCAAAGTCTTACATTAAAATCAGCATTCTACCATTCTTCTAAACAATGTGAGGACCTTGGAAAGCTTTCATTGTAGTTATCCTCTACCAATTTGATATGTTTTTGACCCGTATTTTACTTCCATTTTTTAATTTGACTTTAGAGAGAGGAAGGGGCGGAGGGTGACAGAAAGTGGGGGCAGAGAGAGAAAGAGACAAACAGTGATTGTCTTTCACATGCACCATCTCTACTGGGGATCAAACCTGCAACTAAGTGCCCTGACCAGGATTCAAATACTCCACCACTTGGTGTATGAGATGTCACTCCTACCAGTTTTCATGACCCATATCGGCTAAGGCACCTCAATTTTTTTAATCATCCAAATTAGTCTTTATTATTGCTGCTATTACGTTTCATCCTTCTGCTAACTTTTCATTTTTTTCTGATACCCAAGGAGATTATGAATGCCTTCATTAAGCTGGTTTTCTTTTTCTCTTCAGATTTTCAAAAGAAACAACCAGACGATGATTCCGCTCCAAGTACAAGTAACAGCCAATCAGATTTGTTTTCTGAAGAGACCACCAGTGACAACAACAATACCTCTATAACCACGCCAACTCTTAGTCCCAGCCAGCAGCCGCTTCCGACAGAACTGAATGTAACTTCACCAAGTAAAGAGGAGTGTAAGTGCTCAGATCTTGTAAAATTGTAGAGAAAGCAGCCCAAGAATACTACCTTATCATGAGTTTCTTGATAATGCCTCATCCCAAGAAAAAAGATAGCAGCTTTGTAAATTCAAGATTAATTGTTGGCATATAGTCAGTCCCAAATCAGTAAATTAGAGGATAAGTTTCATCCATTCTGTATAGTTTAAGTTATCTTAAAAGATTGCCTTTTATGATAATTATTAAGATATAAAAGATTATTAACCAGTCTAGGCCAAGGGTTCTCAGCCCTAGTTGAAAATTAGTATCCACTGTGAATTTTTAAAACAAATTTTAATCTTCAGCAGCATTTCTTAAGTCTGATTTAATTGTTCTGGATGGAGGGTCAGGAATCTGTTCTTTTTAACCCTGCAGAGGATTCTAAAATGCAGCAAGTGTTGAGAACCACCAGTGTAGGGAACCTGCCCCTGATTTAGGAACCTCGATTGAAAACTTACTTTTGTCACTTACTGGGCCTTGAATTTTCTAAGCAATTGACAGAGATAATAACACTGTGTTTATTAGAACATAGGTATTTGAAGGGAGGGGGTGATTTCTGTTACTCTTCTGTAAGTCCTTAGTGATAGGATACAATTATCATATATGTAATTTGGAAATCTATTGTCTATTTAATCTTTATTGATTTTATTTTAAATATATATTATTGATTTCAGAGAGGAAGAGAGAGGGAAAGAGAGATAGAAACATTAATAATGAGAGATAATCATTGATTGGCAGCCTTCTGCACACTCCTTACTCTAATGTGCCCTTGATCGGAATTGAACCTGGACCCTTCAGTTTGCAGGCCAATGCTCTATCCACTGAGCCAAACCAGCTAGGGCTGTCTACTTAATCTTTATAATGTTACTAGAGGCCTTGTGCACAAAATGTGCACATGGAATCGGGGGGTGTCCCTCAGCCCAGCCTGCACCCTCTCCAAACTGTGACCCCTTGAGGGATGTTAAACTGCTAAATGGGCAGTCGGACATCCCTCTCACAATCCAGGACTGCTGGCTCACAACTGCTCGCCTGCTTGCCTTCCTGATTGTCTCCTAACCATTCCCATGTCAGCCTGATTGATGCCTAACTGCTCCCCTTCTAGCCTGTTTGCCCCCAACTTCCCTCCTCTGCTGGCCTGGCCACCCCTAACTGCCCTCCCCTGCAAGGTTGATCACCTCCAACTGCCCTCCCTTGCAGGCCTGGTGCCTCCCAACTGCCCTCCCCTGCTGGCCATCTTGTGGTGGTCATGTTGTGTTCACATGGGGGCAGGATCTTTGACCACATGGGGACAGCCATCTTGTGTGTTGGAGTGATGGTCAATCTGCTTATTATTCTTTTATTAGATAGGATAGAGGCCTGGTGCATGGGGGGGGGGGGGGCAGCTGGTTTGCCCTGAAGGGTGCCCCGGATCAGGGTGGGGGTTCCCTTGGGGCATGGGGCGGCCTGGGTGAGGGGCCTGTGGTGGTTTGCAGGCCAGCCACGCCCACTGGTGACCCAAGTGGAAGCTCTGGTATCTGGAATTTATTTACTTTCTACAATTGAAACTTTGTAGCCTGGAGCGGAGCCAAGCTGCCGCCATTTCTGTTTGGTTTTATGTATCTTCTATAATTGAAAATTTTGTAGCCTTGAGTATAGGCTTAGGCCAGCCAGGGCAGGTGGAAAGCTTTGCTTCCTCGTTGCCAGGGCAACCTTAGCCTGCTCTTTCCAGCTCCATGGCTGCCGCCATTTTTCTTGGGATTTATCTTCTATAATTGAAACTTTGTAGTCTTGAGTGGAGGCTTAGGCCAGCTAGGGCAGGTGGAAAGCTTGGCTTCTGTTGCTGGGGAAACCCAAGACTCTCAACTGCTCTCTCTGGCTGCAGCCATCTTGGTTGGGATTAATTTGCACACTTGCTCTGATTGGCTGGTGCGTGTGGCTAGTGGATGTGGCTAGAGTGGAGTGATGATTAATTTGCATATTACTTTTTTATTAGCTAGGATAACCATCTCCTTTAGGGCACAACTATAATTTACAGTGTGTTGAAAATTATAGGAATATTATGACATTGCAGTTTTTGCCTTTTATAAAAGCTTTAGTTAACAGATTGAAATTTGGTATTTCAAATTTTATAAATACCTAGAAATTCTTGAAAAATTCTGTTTACTAACTTTGAAAAGATTACCAGAGAACTAATATTTATATAAATTTATAAACCATGAGACTAAGTAAAATTGAGAATATAAAAGTAAAGAAGGCCATTGTCCCTGTCCTCAAAGAATTACTGTTTAGCAGGGGGAAGGAAATATATTTGTTATTAAAGATAGTAACTGTTAAAGAAGAGTTTTGGTTTACTGGAGAAAGTGGTATTGGAGACATTCTAGACAGAGTAGAGTGAGATATGGAGGAAAACCACGTGGAGTTATACAATGGCAAGTGACTCCTTTTGGGACAAGGCGGGATAGGCAGACTGTGGCCAAGTTATAAAGTTTTGAATGTCCAGCTAAGATATTGGATATTGGACAATACTTAGGCTTTTGAATAGAGAAAGTAATATGATAGTTCTTTCGGAGAAATAATCTGGCAATATTGTAAATGAGACTTTTTAAAATACTGTGACTTTGATTTAGAGACTCAGGGGAAGGTGTAGAAATTGTTTTTAGAGAAGAAAAAAATGAAAATAGTACTGGTCATGTTATTGGCAATAGGTTTTATTTTGTTTTTAAAAATCTCTTTGAGGTTATGTATTTATTGAGGAGCTAATGAAAGCTATGGCCCTTTGTCTCAGAAAAGTATACACCATTCTTTTATACCTGATTATGAATAAAAAATTTTAAAGCTCACTATGGACATTAGATTAAGAACTCCTTGTCTGTGGAAAGGGTTGGAGCTGGTCAGGATCTTATCTGATGGAACTTATGTATTGGGCCTCCACACACACCAGAGTCAGGTTACAACAAACCAACTTCAGCAGCCAAAATGCATGTGAGACTGAGATGATAATAGCTACCATTTATTGAGCACTTTATGTACAAGACATTGTGCTACATGTGTTGCATATTTTCTCTTTTATTTCTCATGACACCCAGTGAAATAGATACTATCATTATCCCCATTTTATAGATAGGGTAACAGGCACAGTGAGATCAAGTAATTTGCCTGTGATCATGAACACTTATTACATATCAGAAACAGGACTCAAATTCAAGCATTGGGCTTCAGAGGAAAATGTTAGCTCACACTTATATAGTGTTTGCTCCATTCTAAGCTCTTTACATGTACTAACATTTTATTTTCACAATATCCTCTGTGGTAGGTACTCTTATTCCTATTTTACAGATGAGAAAGTCGGAGCACAGAGAGGTTCAGTAACTTCTGTCCAAAGTTACAGAGCTCCTGCTTTGCAGCGTAGTTCACATTCCAACCCACTAACTTGTCTTCAGAGTCTGTGCTTTCACCCACAGTAACATATTGCCTCAGTATCGTGAAAATGCTGCCGGCTGTAAACTGACAAGAGACACTGGAGACACTGGAGATTGGTCACTTTAATAAGTGATTTCATTGGTTTGTGTATTCATTTGCTGAGAGCCCCCTTGGTTAAGTGCTAGGAACAGAAATGAGTAAGATTAGGTCTGTACTCACAAGGAAGTCACCTTTTCAAATACATAAATCTGTCCCTGAGTTTCTGGCTTGTTCTTGTAAACAGGTACTTAGAATTTTGAGGTAAGAGGGAGGCAGCAGCAGGAGCAGTGGTTTGCCATTTTCAGAAGCTTTCTCAGGTGGCTTTTGCTACCTCACCGAGGTTGAAAACTGCTAGAATGAAGAGATGTGTGTCTGGATTGTAGGTGGGGAATATAGAGATGGGGAAAGTAAGGAAGGTTTAAAATGGAGATATATGTACTACTATGTGTAATACTTTAAACTAGGGGTGTCGAACTCAATCAGAGAAGGGGCCAAAATCTAAAATCCAGCCTAAATCTCGGGCCGAATGGTTTACTGAACAGTCATAAACGGTCATTGTGATGGAAACGCAGCGGAGTGCAGTGATGACAGCGTGGTGCGGGCCACATTGCAAGGCCTGGCGGGACGGATTTGGCCCGCGGGCCTTGTGTTTGACACATGTGCTTTAAACAATAAAATAAAATTAAAGAAAAAAAGAAAGTAAGGAAGGTTTGTTGAAGCTGTCAGTACTGTCAGGGTGGATACATTATACATCAGAGTGATTGCCAAGTAGCAGTGAAGACTCAGGAGAGGTTAGACAGCCTGATCCATTTACACCTCGCACCTTTCTTTAGCTGTGACCTTCCTAGGAGAAGAAAGGTGCAAGCAGCAGCAGTGTGGGATTTCTTATGCTGATCTTTTTGTATCCTCAGGAACGAGAATTTCTCAGCTTTTTCTCCTAAAGAGTTATGGAGAAGTAGAGGGTGGGGGGGGGAGGGGGTTGCAGAGAATGGGTTTGGGATTTCCAATCCAAGTACTACATGGTTTGTAAACTGCACAGCAGTTAATAGATCAACTAGTAGCCCTGTGCACAAATCCATGGGACAGTAGCTTTCCAGTAGCTCTCCGCCCACTGCCTTACCCTCCTGTAGCTCTCTCCCCCCCCCCCCCCCCCAGCTTGCTGTCCTGCCCCCTCCTTTGGTTCTTCACCGCCTGCTTGTAGCTCGCTGCTCCATCCTCCTATTGATCCGCGATCTGGTCGTTACGCAGTCCGTTGTTACACTTCATGGCATAATAACCATTTGCATATATCATCTTTATTATATAGGAATGTTACCGTGTGTTGAACTGGAAGTACTTTGTCTGTGGGGCTTTTTGAAAGGTTTTATTCCTAATAATCAAGAGAATGAGTATTGCTTATATAAAGCTTTCTACTTCTCACTGTTAAATGAATATGTGAACCAAAAGGTTGTAAGAGTCGGTACATTAATGCTCTTTGAAAAGACTGCAGTTAGAATAAGTACTATTGACAAGAGTGAGAAAAATACACTTTTATCCAAAAG